TTCATTCGTGCCTGTGCACAGWGTTCGATGCCGAGAATGGCTATCATCCCGAGGCTATCATCACAACAATACTGCATCGTCTGCATCGGCGTGCTAGACGGCGTCTACAGAAATTGTTATGGTCTCTCGACCGACCACGCGGGAGCCGGCGATAGCCTCGTTGCATAATAAATAATAATATTATCATAATAATATCATTGTAATAACATTGTATTTACGCCACGGCAGCTGCTCCGCCGTACGGCGCAAGTCGTAGGCAATAATTATCACGTGTCCGTCTGCCATAATATAATCTGTTTTCAGTGTACGTCATAATACATACCTACCCGGTGAATGGCTATTAATTAACCAATATCATTGTAATTGACGAAAGTATGAAACTGTGTGTTGTGATGGAGTTATGCGCGGGCGTTCGTTATACTGTTATAATACATATATTGTTATTGTTATATTTTCACCTCTGCCCCGTTGTTTTGCGTCATACTTGTACATACATTGGTACTATTATTATCATTGTCCGCATTATGCATGTTTCCAGACTGTATATTTTATTGAAAGACCGAATAATCGGACAGATGTTGTATCACTTGTACCTACAAATAATCGCCGCAGTTGTATTATATTGTGATTATTATATATTATTATACAGGCGCATGACGATGATGGTCGATGGGTAACCGAGCGTGGAGAATCACCCTCGGGGTAGGTGGTTGTTATTGGTGTTAATTTCCAAGTGTAGTATAATATTATGTATGCAGCTACACCACATGTACACATATAAAAATGTATAGGTAGGTATTTACACAAAACGGACACAACATTTACTTTCCAGTTTTTTTTATCTAATTACGTACTACCACTTTGTCTTTACGAGAATATGCATACAGCATACTAGCCATGCAGGATCGGGGTGAAATTATAATACATTTTTCAAAAATTCAAACACATTCCTATACTAGGTTTTTAGTATTATTATTTTCAATTCGTACACTGAAATAGATCAAAACTAATTTAAAGGAGAAGCAAGCACAGGTTATTTGTTCTCTGTATAATCAATAAATTCTGTAGATCTGCATGTGTGTCTCCAGGCCAAAGTTTATAAGAAACACGACATTTATTATTTATTTACAGACAGATCTCAACGGTATAATATGTATATAGTTGGAAGATTYACAATAAGATTAATCAAGTAGCAGTGATAATTAATGGTTAACTGGTTTGAAGAATCAATGGCTAGACCGCCGCCTAGGCTCATTATGATTATGACCAAGTTGATGATTGCGGATATAATTCGTAATACTCGTATGATTGTATACAATAGAAAGGGTGATGTAGCCAACAAGTAAATTATTTAATATACCTACTTATATAGTTATATAGTATACAGGATGATTTTTTAACCACGCTCACCCCCATTTATTCCTGTAATCAGAGGTTAAAGTGGGAAAAAATTCCAGAGGGGACTAATGTCTCCGTATGGTTTTAAGCGTTCCATATATAATTTAATGTATAATGTCTAATGTAAGAAAATCCTAATTTGTTAAAGGGGACGCTTTTTAACCGCCGTCAGAGGTAAGGGGACTGAGTCCTCCTGCGCCCCC